CAAATTATTCTCTAATGTGGTTTTACTAATTTCACCAGCAATTTTTCTGTGAGGATACCTCCTGTGTAAATACTCAAAACCATGTAAAATTATTAACATTATTATATTTAATGCCAATCTTATGAGCATAAAATCTTATCTCATTATTACTTATTTTGCATGGCCCTTATTTCCAGTGAGGTTGGACATCTTTTTATATGCTTATCAGCCATTTGGATTTTTATTTCTGTGATATGATAGCTTTTGCCCATTGTTTATTTCTTATGTTTTTTTCTTTTTCTTATTGATTTATTGGTAGTCTACACATATCCTTAATATTAGATCCTTTATCTGTTAATTGTCTATAATCACATTTATCAGACTTTTCCTTTCTGGAATCTATAGATTAGTTCTTATGCCTTTCTACAACTATACAAAGTGTTCTTTGGGCCACAACCAGCAACAGAAGCAGCAGCAACAGGGAATGTGGTAAAAATACAGATTCCCTAGGCCTACCCTAGACTTGTGGAATCAGATTCTGAACTTTAATAAGATCACTAGGTGATTTATATGCACATTAAAGATTTTAAAATGCTGGATAAAATAATGAAGAAAGGAACAAAAGTGCAAAATGTCTTCTCTGGGGTAATAAATAACACAACAGACCTCACCTGTCTTCTGTTTCTTCTTCATAAAGAAAAATCCCTGGCTTTGGACTTATGAGTCCTCAGTTCATATATCCTAGAGACACACTAAAAAAATTCAGAAATCAAGTTATTAGACTCTGTTCTGTAAATTTAGATGTTTATGGGATTTCACAGTAGAGTTTGCAAAGTAAAGACACACCTGTTTATCTGATTTCAAATGGAAAAACAAACAGCAATGGCAGCTGTATCATAATATAACTCAAAATGCAAGCCTTGGACATTTTGTTGAATGCTGTCAAGAAAAAAACAAATTCAGCTAGGAAGCATAATCCATCAAATGTCTTCCTTGTTCATACATGCCTCTATTTTTAGTTGACATGAAATGCTTCAGAAATGAATGACAACTAGAATTAATAGAGGAAATTGCCAAGACTTGTACATGTTGTCAGATGTGTGATGACTTCTGTGTATCAACATGATTTCCTGAGGAGTATATGAGTGTTTGGCTGTATATGAAGGGGGCAACAAAAGAGCACACCATCACAGCTGAGAGTTGTAAAATTATATCTTAAAACAGGGGTCCCTGTAATTCTAGCATTCTGGGAGGCCGAGGCGGGCAGATTGCTCAAGGTCAGGAGTTCGAGACCAGCCTGAACAAGAGTGAGACCCCTGTCTCTACTATAAATAGAAAGAAATTAATTGGCCAACTAATATATATAGAAAAAATTAGCCGGGCATGGTGGCACGTGCCTGTAGTCCCAGCTGCTCGGGAGGCTGAGGCAGCAGGATTGCTTGAGCCCAGGAGTTTGAGGTTGCTGTGAGCTAAGCTGACGCCACAGCACTCACTCTAGCCTATGCAACAAAGCGAGTCTCTGTCTCAAAATAAAAAAAAAGAATAGAAAAGAAAACAGGGGTCCCCAACCTATGGTGAGTTGTGTAATTATTTCATTACATATTGGAACATAATAATAATAGAAATAAAGTACGCAATAAATGCAATGCACTTGAATCCTCCCAAAACCATTCTCCCCTCCCCAGTCTGTGGAAAAATTGTCTTCCGTGAAAACAGTCCCTGGTGCTGAAAAGGCTGAGGACCACTGCCTTAAAACACCCTGCCTTCTCTAACACGAGGGAGATGACTCCACAGGCTGAAAGCATCTGACTGCAGGGATCGTGGCAGAGGTATTGATACTACTACTCACCAAATGGCCATGGGCTCTCCCACATTTCCCAGGCCCCTATGCAGTACACAGAGGCACATAACACTGGATCTGGCCAATGGGTTGTGAGAAGTAAAAACATGTCACTTTTGGCCCGAAACATTTAATTTCCTGCTTCCTGTCTTTTTAGCCATGCTACAGCAACCAAAGAGGTTGTGAGTGGCATATCATGTGCTGACAAGGTAGTTGAACCTCCATCAGTAGACCCTTGCAGGACCCTTGCAGGACCAGGTGGAACAGATTCCCCCACTAACCTATGCTGGACATGCAGCATTAGTGAAAAAGAAACTTCTTCGTTTGTGTGAAGCCACTGAAATCTGGGTGTGGTTTCCATTACAGCATAGCGTGGATTATGCTAATACAGTGAGCATAGGTGACTCTGCCTTATTAATAATAGCCAACAGTATTGAGTGCTACACTATACCAGGTGCCAAGCTGTAAGTTTTACATGCATTACCTAATATCTCACAACAACCTTCTGAGACAGATGATAGTATTATCATATATGATATACACGCTCTATGGCTATAGCATAGGTATATATACATGATATATATGATATAGTTCTAGATCATATATCTCAATAATATATAGATATCATGTATATAGAGATACAGATGCATCACATGTATCAATAGTATATTGTCAAAGGTGGCCATTCTTCCTCTTCTCCTGTTATGCTAGAATTGTTTTGTCTCTTTTTAGCTAAGGCTCCAATCCCTCCACATGGGGCTTGGATGCCATCTCCTCCTGCCTTACATTATTGATTATTCCTTCACTCTCCGGGATCTGCATTCCCTTCCCATCTATTCAATTTGGTCCCTCAGCATTCTCAAGTCTCTTCAAGCTTAACCAAGCCCTCCAGCCACCACACTTCCCCCTCCAATGATGGTCTCCCCTCCCCTCCCCTCCTATGGTGTCTTTGAAGGTTTCACCCTCATTTTGTTCCCTCAGCTTCTGCCACTCTTTACTCCAATATTGTTTCTTCTTCCAGCACTCTGCCAACCGGCTCTTTTCAACACCACTAATGATCACGTCATTGCTAAATTCAGCAGGCATTTTATTTTCACTGTATTTAATTTTCTGCATTTTGTGACCCAATTGATCACAACCTCTTGTTGAAACACCATTCCATAGGCTCTCTCTCTCTGGTCACTCTCTCTCCTTTTCAGCTTAATCATCTTTCACTGGGCCATTAAATTTTGGCATTCTTCACTACCCATCGTAGCCTCTTTTGTCTTCTCATTCTATAGTCACTTTGCAGTCTTTCACCTATACTGAAGCCTGCTAACACCACCACATAGACTCAGTCATCCCCTAAATATGTGCTTTCATCTGGGGCTTCTGCTCAGAACCTCCACTTTGATGTCTTAGTGTGTTCAAGGCTGAACTCATCATGTTCTCCTCACCCCACCTACCTAACTCCAGTCTCACCGGTTCCTTCCTCAGTGTTCCCCATCTTAGTAAATGGGGCCACCCTCCTCCTATTTGTTTATGTTGGAAACCTGAGAGTAGGGCTGCATCAGTACCTTTAGGGGTGCTCAGCATGAAAATGCACTTTACTGTATTTTGAAATAAAAACAAATCAAAGCATATCATAACTAAAATAAATCTTTAAAAATTCTCATTTTGTCTATGGCCATACCATTCTAAACGTGCCTGATCTTGTCTGATCTCATGGAGCTAAGCAGGGTCAGGCCTGGTTAGTACTTGGATGGGAGGCTGCCTGGGAATACTGGGTGCTGTAGGCTTTAAAATATTTAAATAAATAAAAATTCTCATTTTCCCATAGTGACAATTATGATGCTTTTAAAATGAATATCAAATCCTTTTCAAAATACTTTAGGGATACTTCTTTCTTGTTGCTCTAAGAGCTATTTGGTAGTCCAGCACTGTCTAGAAGTCAATAATAAGACAACATCCCCTGTTGATTCTATCACAAAAATATTTTCTAATCTGCCTGCTCCTCACTGGTACCAATCAACTGTACTCAAAGCCACCATGACAACTTGTCTGAAATTCTGCAATGGCCTCTGAACCCTCCTCATTGTTCCAATTTATTCTCCACAAAGCCTCCAGGCCAGGCAGAATGATTTCAGGAACACATATAACTGATCCTCTCCATTGTTTCCCACTGTCCTTAGAATAAAATCTCAGATCCTTAACAGGTCTAAGACACTGCCTCCTTGCCAGGAACCAGCCACACCTCTTTGAGTTACTAGAAAGAGCCAAGCTCCCTATGAGCTTTTACACACAATTTATTCTCTGTCCAGAGCTCTCTCACCCCTCCCAGCTTCTCCCTCTTCAATTCTTAGATTTAATGTCTTTTCTTCAGATAAGCCTTTCTTAACCTCCCACACCTGTCAATGCTCCTTGTTAAATGCTTCCTTAGTAATCCCCACTTTGCTTTATAAGTAAATGATTATTTGTGTAACGGGTAGTTTAATCTCCCCTCCCCACTTTAATGCAAACTCCCCGAAAAAGAGTTGTGAACACACTGTAGTACACACAAGTAATTCAGGGATCTTGAATTCAGCTTTGTCTGATTCTAGAGCCCATTTCCCGCAACTACCGCATGCACATAAATCTACCCATCCTGGAAGATGGCTTTTTGCCTTTTTATTTTATGATGGCCAAATATTGATGCATGGGAGACCAAGGTCTGACTAGAAAAATATAACATCGCTGAGCAAATTCTAAAGCAATGATCCTGGGCTGTTGGTGAATCCCTTTGTGTGTATTCCCGTGAAGAGCGGACCAATATGCCTCAGCTTTTTCTTTCTGCGGACTACAGGCTGAACTCCAGCTCTCCCATTGTATTATCTCCACATCCGTAAACAGGGGTGACATTAACCACCTTACAGGGTTGTAATAGTACTCATTCATTCAATAAATATTTAATAAGCATCTAGTATATGCCAGACCTTGGTTCAGATGCTGGGGATACAAATAACATTTGGGATGTAAAGCATTGGTTTCAAGTGAAAGTTAAATAAAAAAAAAGAAAAAAGAAAAAAGCTTTTAGCATAGTGCCTAGCTCATTTAATGTTACACATGGTTACCAACACTAGTATTGTCATAACTGTGTGTTGACGTTTGCTTATGTCACATAGCTCCAGTGCGAGCATAGATTTGCGCCGTTTGTCGTTACCGGGGCGGGTTCCCAGCAGCACAGGGATCTCGCTACCTAGCACAAATCTGCGCGCTTCGCCCCTCTCCTCCGGGCCGGTAGGGGGCGCGCGGCGCGTCTCTGCCGCCTCACCTGCTGCGTCTGCGCCTGCGCCATACTGGCCACCCAGCCGCAGCTCCCCTCCCCCAGGCGTCCGCTCTGCCTCGAGCCCCAACGCTCCGCCTCCGTTGCCCCTAGCGGCCGTTTGTTGACTTCCGGGAGCGCGATAGTAGTCTATGCCCAGAGCGTCGCTATGGGGGCTTGGGGAGTTTATGCGGCCCGCGTTGGAACTGAGGCGCTCCCTTAGGCTCTACCGAGTCAACCCCGCAATCCTCCTGGCCCAGGCGCAGGCTTCCCTTACCGCCCTCGAGATGGAGGAGACTGAGGATCTTGTGCCCGGTGAGTCGCGCCAGCGGCAGTGGCGGCGGGCCGGGAGGGAGGGTCCGCGGGCGGGCTGGCGGCCAAGCCCCGCCTCTGGGCCGGCCCAGTATAGGGACAGGCTAGAGTCATGGCGGCCCAACTGTGGTCAGAGCTCTGGCCGCGCCCCCGCGAATACTGAGGGGAGAGGACGGCAAGGGCGGGACGGGACGACGGGGAACTGGGTGCCTGTCTGCCTTCTTCTCTTAAAATAAGATTTGAATGAGTTTCTCGAAGGCAGGGGCACTTTTTACCTCCCTGTAAACTTCCCAAAGTACTTCAGACTTGTGCACGATGGAGGTCCCCAGGACCCATTTATGTATTGAATGCAGTAAAGAGTGGGTGACCAGGGGATGTGGGGTAAAAGGGAATGCAGGGAACGAATTGGGGAAAGGGGTGAAGATGGAACCTTTAGCGATTTAAAAAAAACTTTTCCCCCTGAGCTACATAGTTACAAATACATTTGACATTGTGACTTGGTACCGTGTATGCACCATGTAACGGAAATAGACGTTTCTCCTTGGGAGACGGAGGCAGGAGGATCGCTTGAGGGCCGGGATTTCGGGACCTGCCTGGGTGACATAGCGATACCGCAATCTCTACAAAAAAAATTTTGAAGAAATTAGCCGCGGGTGGTGGCGGGCACCTGTAGTCCCAGATACTGAGGAGGCTGAGGCGGGAAGATCTCTTGAGCCCAGGAGTTGGAGGCTGCAATGAGCCATGATCAGGCCACTGCACTCCAGCCTGGGTGACAGAGTGAGACCCTCTCGAAAAGAAAAGAAAAGAAAAGAAAAGAAAAGAAAAGAAAAGAAAAGAAAAGAAAAGAAAAGAAAAGAAATAGACATTTCATGAAGCAGTGCTTGTTCTAACCACTTGGTATGTGCTCAGAGCTTTTCTATATGTTCCCTTAAAAATGCTGATCATGATCCGCTAAATTAATTTTCTGACTCACTAATTGGTTATGACCAACAATTTGAAAAAAACAAACAAACAAAAAAAAAAAACCAACAACAAACCACTAGGTTTGAACAGAATCATACCTTCACGGAAATATGTATGTTTTCTTTCATACTGGAATATGGTTAGATTCCTGGCCTCCTGGAGTTAACGGTTTAGTGAGAGATGCGAGAAAGTAAACAAAATGATAATACAGTATGATAGTAGATGCCTCGGGGGCCAGAGCCGAGCCACCAACCCCTGGCTCGGGGTGAGGATATCAGGGAAGGTTTCCTGGGGAACCAGAACAAAAAAGTTAAAATGATTGATTCTGGGGAAATTCAGTCTGTTTTAGGTCCTGGCCTCCCAACTTTCAATCATTATTTGGAACTGAGGTGCCTCACAATGGTTCTCAAAAGGTTTTCCATAGTGGCTAGTCTCTTGTACATTAATATTTATTTTTAATACTTATATTTGCTATGTTTTCATTTCTAATATTCATTACTTTTTTTATATGTGATCATCCTCCTTGGGATTTCCTCAGAAACCTGGACATGGTCTCCTATTTGGTGTATGCCTGTATTTAAATGGTTATTGGGAACTGGTAGTGGTTTTGGTCTCTCCTCAAAGTGGTACTGGACCAAATCAGTTTGTGAATACTACTCAGATCAGGTAATGACTTAATTTAGGAATGTTAAATCTCAACATTCCTCTACAGCCTTCTTCCCAGGCTCCTAGGAATGTGGCATTTTGTGATGGTGTTTTGAGGGACAAGATAAACCATCTTTTCCCATGCAGTGCTCCTGGAGAGAGAAAAAGATATCTCTATAAGTAGCTGTAGTAGGTGAGTAAGATATAAATTAGAAATTTCCTGAGTATCTCTATTGAGAAGATCCTTTAATTTTATACTTGATCTGTAAACATTCTGAATTCTCCTCAGTAGAAATGTCAGGAAAAGCTGAAATGCTTCTCAGTTGAAGACTTGGGTCATCTGGTGTCTTTTACATTAAAAGTCTTGAAAGTTATATTTGACAGCCTACTCACCATTATGATGACCTGAAAACAGTTATGAATATATGTGTGTGTAAAGGGGAACTTTTCTGTGCAAAAAGTAGAACAGACTTAAAAAATAAAAATAATTGGCATTTATTGAAGTGCTAATTTGTTCTAGGCAATGTGAGTAGTGTGGAGAGTCTACTACAGTCTTGGTAACAGAATATAGTTGAGAAAACAAAATATTGATCAACAAAAATATTTGTGTAACAGTTTAATTAGAGTGGTTGCTAGGTAGTACATAATAAATTGCCATATAAACTCTACATATCCCATAGTTCACAGCAGCAAATGATCATTTCCAACTCTTATAGTAGTGGAAGAGTTTACAGAGGTGGCTATATAGGAGCTAGTGTGTTGGGGATGCTAGGTTCTGTACTAGGTTCTTTATACATGTCATCTCATTTAACCCTATGAGATTGTTACAGCCCTATATTTATATAATTGTCAACACATTGTACAATTATTCAGTCAACCTCTGGGTTTGTACCTGTGCTAAGGGTATATAAAAAGGAATACTATTACTTATACCCTATCGTAATAAAGACCATAGCTATTGAAGAGGAATCCAAGGTTCAATGAAGTGTTCAGGATCACATAGCTAATTATGAGCATGTGATAATTTGAATATTGTCTTTAAAGCCTAGTGTTTTGTTTTTTTTTTTTTTTTTCCTCACTGACTTCTCATAATGCAAGTAAAAGAGGTAGTGTTTGAATGACTTGTTTCTGTCTGTCCTGCCTTTGGTTTTATGGGAATCGATTGGGATTACGAATAGAGAAATTGAAATTAAGAGTTCACCTTTTGAGGTAATATTCCTTCCCTTGCTTGAGAACACTAGAGGTTCCTTGGAAAAACAGGACCAGATAAAATCCAAACTGGCTTATATAGTCCTTCCCGATGGATATCCTGATGATTGTAATGAAGAAATTCAATACTTTCCTGTTTCAGTGTGTGGAGAAAAGCCCTCATTTGGGGGCCGGAGCACAAGGTGTTAACCAGGGGAAGTAGAACATGAATTGTACCAGTTCATTTCAGGGAATAGATGTCCACTTCGTGACTGCAGAACTATTAGTGATAGATGACTGCCTTCTTTGTGATGGTGTATTTCTTACTTTATACCAGTAAATGAATAATATGTGTTCAATTAAGTAGATTTCATATATCAAACTAGAATGAAGTCTGGTAACTAAGACTGAACTCTAAGGTGAAAGGAAGAGGGCCTAAACATTGCCAGAGTGGAGGCAAGCTGTCATAAGACAAGGGGTTTGTATGGATCAATTACCGAAAAAGTATTTTAATAACAGGCAACATAGTAAAAGTTGTAAAATAGAAACCATCTTATATTTGCAGATTCAGGTGCCGTGTTTACATTTGGAAAAACTAAATTTGCTGAAAATGTTCCCAGCAAATTCTGGTTTAAAAGTGATGATACACCTATATATCTTTCATGTGGAGATGAACATACTGCTATTGTTACAGGTTAGTATTACAATCCTAAACGAGGACAGTAATACTTAGAGAATCCTAAGTATTATACATATGCTGTGTTTTAAACATGTTGAAGATATATAAAAAGTATTTTTTTTTCTTTTCCAGAGAATCTTCACAAATTGATTCATCAAGAGAGTGTTTTAAATTTTAAGTTTCCCTAATATAATTACATATATTTTCTATATATAACACTTTCTTGGAATAAATATATTTCAATATATTTTTTTAAAAAATACTGTTACCGTATAATGTTAGAAACTCTTTTACAACTAATAGCATCTGGTTATACATAGACCAGGTAACTTGTTTCACTATAGAAAGGAATAACATCTTTAAGTATAGCTTTTTATTGCTTTGTGATGACCTCATCTTACATTATGTGAAAAATGCTTCAATTTATTATTTATTTTTCCCTCCTACCAGGAAATAATAAACTTTACGTGTTTGGCAGTAACAACTGGGGTCAGTTAGGATTAGGATCAAAAACAGCCGTTAGCAAACCAACGTGTGTCAAAGGTTTGGAGTCTTTTCTTCTTTATCACTTTAAATGCTTAAACTACATAAAGCACTTTTATATTGATTGTGTAGTTCTTTAATGTCATAAATACAGCCTTTAGTTCTTTATTTTCTGATATTTTCTTGAATATTATTAGCATTTAGTTTGTTTTTGTATGATATTCAGAACTAATTTCATATGTTAGGTCTAAAAGTCACATTGATTTTAAACTGGGGACCACAAAGGAAATAATAATTCTACAGTATTGCATATAAACATCCTTTTATTGGCTTGTTTGTAAAGCTACTTAAATATTACTGTTATTGTGTGTAACAATAATGAACAAACATTAATAATGAACAAATATTAATTAATAATGAATAAACAAACAAAACAACAAAACAAACAAAAAAATAATAATGAACAAATATTATGTGTTAGAATTTGAGCTCTGTCTCATTTAGTATAGTCATGGACATCCTGGTTCTATTTAGTTGCTAGTTTTATAAAACATACTTATCCTGCTATATATAGTGAGTAGATGAATTGAACAAAACATAGAGACTAAAGGTTTATTAATACCAGTGTAAGAGAACAATAGGACAAAATATTTGAAATCAGGACTGTTCTGGAAAGTATTGAATGTATAGTACCCTTACAAAGCTTTCTCACTTTTATATGGAAATCCTCCGTTTGGGTATAACCTGTGAACACCAACTGAACTTGAAAGGATGGTGAAGATTCCTTAAGATCTGATAAGAGCACTATTCTTTATCTTCCTGGCCAAATTTTAAATTTCAGCTCAAAATTTCAGTGTAGCTTGTCCTATTCATGCTATTTATAGGTGTTGTTATGGGGCTTTTAAAGTCTTCCATGAGACCAAAAAGTATTTATTAGGCACAGTCTACTAAACACTTGAGAGTAGTCACAGTGACCCTGATCTTTACTCTCAAATATCATATCTAATAAACAAGCTAACAGAATTGTCTAAGCCAGGGGTCCTCAAACTTTTTAAACAGGGGGCCAATTAACTGTCCCTCAGACCATTGGAGGGCTGGACTATATAGTTCATAGCAAGCATCTTACAAAACACTGTAGTGTTCACATCACATTTAATTCAGTAATTAAAGTGCTGCTTTCTTCCAGTGAACAGAAAAGTCATTATAAAACAATATGCATTTCTATTCATCATTGTCTCTTCTTACTTCTGACTAGCCACGAGTTCTTGCCAACTTTTCTCTATGCAAAATGAGATTGTACTATGAATATCCTGGAGCTTCCAGGAGTATTGTACTTTAGCTCTAGCTACTTATGTCAGTGAAATAAACCTTGACTTTTCCTTTACTAAAAACAAAAAACAAACAAAAAAAAACTATGAACAAATTCCTATGCACATTGCACATATCTTATTTTGAAGTAAAAAAACAAACGGGCAAAAACACCTGCATGTGGCCCACAGGCCGTAGTTTGAGGACGCCTAGTCTAGGCTATGAGATCCTTGAGACTAGGGACTCTATCTTAGTCATCTTTATAGTCCTGATGCCAAGCATTTAGATGTTTTTTGAAATGTTTTTTTAATATGTAGATGAATTAATGAACAACTTTAACATAGATGTATGCCTATGAATATTTGTGTTACAGGTTTTCATCGAGTGTGGTGGAAGGTGAGCTTGATAATGGTGATAGCACGTTAGGTTTATGGATCAGGCTGGTGAGGAGGCAGCATATCAGAACACAGTGGATCTAGACCACTGACTCAGATTCTCCAGGGACGGAACTCAGCTATCTGTATTGTTTTCAAAGTTCACTGGTTATTATGATGCACGACCAGTTCTCAAAACCTCTGGTTTAATAGTTAAGAATGTCGACTTTGGAATCATACAGATCTGCTTTTAAATCTCATTTCTACCACTAAGTTACCATTTGACCTGTATTACTGATCATTTTCATTACCATACAGCACTTTAATTGTCATATTTTTATATTTTTAGCTCTAAAACCTGAAAAAGTGAGAATTGCTGCCTGTGGAAGGAACCATACCTTAATTTCAACAGGTATGGTATTCATCCTATGATTTCCTGCCCAATTTTGAGAACTGAGGTCTCACTCCAATAACGTGTGTAGCTTTGTAACACTAATAGAAATTGTACCGTGGCAACAGTAAGATTATGGTTTTTAAAAATGTAATTTGTTAGTATACTTTTTGCCTTTGCAAATATGCAGATAAATGTTAAATGGTTGAAGAAAAAGCTTTTTGTGGATTATATCAAGAGACAGCATCTCCTTACATGTGTGCACACCTCAAGGGCTGGCGGTTTCTGTTCTTGCTCTTCCCTTTTTTTACTGAGGGTGAATGGAAGCCATCCAAAAGGCTATTGATATAAGTGAGCACAATCCCAATCAAAATCTAAACAGGCTGTGTGTGTGTGTGTGTGTGTGTGTGTGTGTGTGTGTGTATGTGAGACACGCGTAGTCACATGCATGAGTTCATTTGTAGAAATTGACAAAGTACTTCTAAAATGTATGTGGAAAAGCAAAGGACATAAAATAGCCAAAACAATTTTGGAAATAAAACAAAATTAGGAACTGGCACTACCTGATTTCAAGACCTACTGTAAATCTACCCCATAATTGAGACAGTGTGTTATTGGCAAAAAGATAGACAAAGATTAATGGAACAGAATAGAGTCCAGAAGTAGACCCACATGTACATGATCAACCTCCTCTCACCTCTTCATAATTTTCCCTTTCTGAAATATCTTTTGTCATTCTCTTACCTTTTCATATTCTTATCTTTCGAGACCCCATATACATTGTATATCTTCCATGGAGCGTTTTATGACTTTTCAACTTTCTACTCATCTAGTTTTCTGAATTATTTTAGCATTTCACCAACTCTGGTTTGTTCCATATGTGTTGAATTACCTAGTCTTGTTTCCTCAATTAGGTTTCATTTTTTCTATTTAAAAAAACCTAATTTTAAATTATCACTGATTCTGACTGATTTTTCCCTCATTTCCCCCTCATAATTTAGCAAGGCTTTAACTTCATGGGTATTTTTATGATATATGTAACCAATTTGATATGTGTTTGTTAAAATTTTTCATTGATTTAGAGCTTACTAGATATGTTTATAATCTAGTCATGATGTACTTTTTATTTAAGAGAGTAATTAAGCATTTACATATGCTTTACAATTAGCCAAATGTTATTCTAAGAATTTTACAAATGTCAGCTAATTTAATCTTCATGGAGTAGGTACTATTATCCCCATTTTATAGGTGAGTAAAATGAGGCACAGAAAGGTTAAGTACAGCTTGCCCCAGGTCCCACAGCTGGTAAGTGGCAAGCCAGAATTTGCACCCAGGCAGTCTGGCTCTGGAGTCTTTCTTCCTAACCACAGTGCTATGTCCCCCTCCTATTTAGATAGAAAGTTAAAATCATTATACAACATAGAATTAGCATGTTTCTAATATATTATTCTTCTTGGATTTGCCTCATTTATTTGTACTATTGTATATCTTAGCTTTAATTGGTGTAGGTGTTAAAATTAATGAACTGCATCTCTTAAAACAGTTTGATTTGGATTTTAAACTAATTTGGAGTTACTTTCATTTTTACTCTGAATTAATAAAGTGGTGTATTAGCAAGGAAATGCATTCCATAGATTCTGTGCATTTCAATTGCTGGTTAAACTCTAGAATGATTTATAAAATCTCACAAAAATGTAAAGCCTTGATTGTTTTGCTTTATTTTGGGCAATGAAATGAAGTTGTTCAGCAAATAAATAATGATAGCTTTCAATTTTTTTCACTGTTAATAGAGGAAATAGCTGGTGTACCCTGACCTGTCTGATCAAGAAGGTGACTTATAGTGTATTGATATTTTCTTTTCTGTGTGCAGAAGAAGGCACTGTATATGCAGCTGGAGGAAATAATGAGGGACAGTTGGGACTTGGTGACACAGAAGAAAGGGACACTTTTCAACTGATTAGTTTTTTTGCATCCCAGGCTAAGATTAAACAGCTCTCTGCTGGATCTAATACTTCAGCTGCACTAACTGGTAAGACTTATTTCCATTTCAATCTGGGACACATCCCTTTCCTTTAGACCAGGATGTACGAACTCAGTAAATTCAGGACAGCATTGCTGTTTAGTTTTCTTTTGTTGACTATGTGCTTTTGGAAGACATTTAAAATATAACTTTAAATCTTGACATAATATTGCAATTTCATGCTTATTTAGAGTTAGGTGTAAATGTACATTTAGTAATTGGTAAATAAATTATAAGCTGCGCTGTCCATCTATTCCTTTAGATATTCTTTTGTTTCATCTTCATTGTGTGCTCTAAAAGTTATACTTGGAACTTTAACTGAAGTTGCTATTAGAAACATGCGTAGAAATATGTTGCAACATATGTTGTTGAAAAATGGTTTGTAACAATCATTGCATCTCTTTGCCCTCCCTATCAAAAGCCCATGTGGGAAGTTTCTTAAAAATTTGGAGCCAAGATCAATTTGAAGCAGACCAAGAGCACTGAAGCTACTGGTCACCTACTTTGTTCCAAGCAGGAGACTGTAACCTCTGGTGTTGCTCTGTCAAGAAAGTCAGAGTCGTATCTGAAGCTCTGTTCCTTAAATTTTGTCAACCATATACTTAGCATTTTGACATCCTTCTTTCAGTTCTTATTTTTCCATTATCATTTTATTGGCCTTATTATTAAACCACTTCAAAGATTAAAATTTTTTAAATTAATTAAAATATATAAGTAAATAAGTTTTGATGATTCCTTTCTAAAATATTTTTCCTAGATTAACTTTTTCTGACATCAAAACCCTTATAAGAAATGACATAACTTAACCTATTTTTGAAATGCTATACATGCTATTATATCCTCATTCTCTGAAGGTAGATTCTGTGTTTTCAGGTGTAAATTATAAGAAAAAGAAGTTAAAGAAATACATTTCTTTTCTCTTTTTCTGTTTTTAAAACATCATTCCCGCAGTGCTCTCAAGAGCAAGGTCTTCCAGGCCCTTTTTACCTGGAGATGTCTAGTGTGGCACATGCTGTCTCTCAGTTCAGTTGCAGGTAGACTGCTTGGAAGAAGAATATTTCTGTTTAGAAACATTGGAATGAAAAAATGTGATCATAGGAAAGGGCATTCTGTCTTTGTTATTGAGATAAAAATATGGATATTACTAACGTGATTTACAGTCAGGCTATTCTCTGTTCTTTATCATTATAGAAGCATTTCACAATAGAAATTGAACTCCCAAGTAGCTACCTAGTGTAAATGTCTTAATAGTGCTTTTCTGTCAAGACACATTATTTTCTAAACTAAAAAAGAAACAAACATATGGTATGTTGGAAGCTAAAATAGTTTGAGAGCCCTGCTACCTTTTAAAACCTTTTTTCCCTCTTGTGTTTTCTTTATAGAGGATGGACAACTTTTTATGTGGGGTGACAATTCTGAAGGGCAAATTGGTTTAAAAGATATACCTAATGTATGTGTCCCTCATCAAGTGACCATTGGGAAACCTATCTCCTGGATCTCGTGTGGATATTACCATTCAGCTTTTGTAACAAGTAAGACAACATTTTGAATTTATCTTGTTATCTTCCATTTCTATTTTATTACTAAATTAATAATAAAATGATATAACATTCTGCAGTTATATAGAACTAATGTCATGGTTGTTCATGCAATAAAATGGTTTTGGCCTGTTTTAGGTCATAGTATTTCTCCATTTCTGTAATGAGAGTTTATAATTTCAAACTCTCTCTGACATGTTAACTTTTTAAGTGGATATTAGGTCTAATAGAAAACAAAATTGATACATTATAAATTCTTCTAAATTTTGGTTCTCAAACTTCTTAGACCCTTTTGGGATTAAAAATAAGACCTAGGGGCCACTTTCCTTTGGACCTACTTGCCTCTATACTTTGACCTACTCTATTCTTGTTGTCCTGATAATTTCTTTTATTGTTTTAAGAAGTGAGTCATAGGCTTTTGTTTTGGGAGCCAGGATGAAAACTAGATGAAAAAAGAAGAGAGCTCAGTATGGTCTGATTGCCTTTGGTGGGGTATTTCTCACCACATCCAATTTCTCCCTTTCCTGGACCCAATAGTAACCTTTTCTACCTTAGTTAAAATATCTGAAATATTGGACTCTGTTATAGTCTGTATCTATACTAGTAATAATAGAAGTATGATTATGACTTTCCATCTAATTGATTTTTTAACAGTAAAAACACCTAGAGGAAATAGTTTCATGGACCCTCTTAGGCATCTCTTAAATGTTTATTTTATACATTTACTCTTCATTTCATGCACCAGAGATTCAGGGTTAGAAGGTGCCAATTGACTCATCCCAGTGTCCCCCAGAGTTACCAATGAATTGGTAGTAGCATGATACCAAGAAGGGCAAACCCAACTTTGTTGGAATTGTTCACCACCGTATCTCTGGTGTCTTGAACTAACTGCTAATCAATAAACATTGTTGAATGAGTGAGCCAGTGAATGAATAATCAAGTGATTCCATTCCTTGGGCCAATACCAGCTACCAACTTACTGCCAACTTTATGGCTCCTGGGGTTGGTATAGACTGTACTCACTTTGTTAATGAAATAAACAAACAAACAAACAAACAAACAAAAACAGGAAAAAACACAAATACGAAAATAAACAGATGAAACAAAAACCCCACAAAAGTTTTGTTTTATATTTGGGATTTAAGAAAACTGCCAGAATCAATTTTATTAATTAACTCTGCTTTAGCCATTAGAGGAGCAAGTGGAATTGTTCATCTTAACCCACAGGTGTTACATTGAGTTTTCTTATTTATATGCTTTTTTTTTAAGTAGTTTTATTGAGATATAATTCACATACTCTACAATTCATCCATTTAAAATTGGATTTTTAAAAATATATTAACAGGTTTGTTCATATAGTGAACTTTTATACTAAAAATTTTGCTGGGATTCATTTACATTAGATATGTACTGCCAGTAATTTTCACATTAGCCATTATTTTATGACTAATCATTTAAAGCAACTTTTTATACATTTTAGAAATAACTCAAGCTTAAGGGGTTTTACTTAATATATATTTCATGACAGAAATGTTATGTAGAAAAGGACTGTTATATTTTTCTCTTTGTATATCAAGTTTGGAGACCAAAAAGGAACAGTTTAATTCTTAATAAAAATGCAGAACATATTGCTGAGATAGTCATGTTTAATACTTCATACAGATTTTTTAACCTACTAGCATGTTTGAATGCTCGTGTTCATGTTCAAAATTCACGTTTTGGATTCAAGTTCATGTTATAAATTGTATATAATATTGTATAAATTGTATACAATATTTATTTATAATAAATGTAATAAAGAAGCAAATCAATAGTGTTACTATGGACAAAGAATTGATTAAGTGCTTCTTGATAAGAGAGTATGTCTGGAGGAAGTACCATGTAAATGGGTAAAATCTGCTATCTTAAGAGTTTCTCAAGTTATTTACTTCACACTTAAGTGAGTTTTCTAAAAACAAGTTTCATAAAAAGCAGTAATTCATTTGTTTATTCAACAAGTATTCATTTAGTGCTTATTCTAGACATTCTGCTAGGTTTGGGGGATATGATAGTGAGGAAGACAAAAATCTGTGTCCTTATGGGAGTTTAATATTTAGTCATTTTGCTTTATTAAAAGTGAGTATAGGAGGGGATGGGTATTCGAGGGGGGAGAGGGGGACATGGGCAATATATGTAACCTTAACACTTGTACCCCCATAATTCGCTAAAATAAAAAAAAGTGAGAAGAAGCCAGATAGTCTTTACTGTGTTTTGTGAAAGAGCTAAAATGATTTTCTAGTTGTTTATTAGTAATGTCCATCATGAATTCTTCACTAAGGTTATTGAATTAAAATGATCAAGGGGAAAAGAAAATCTTAACTTTATTTTCTTACCATACAGTAAAAATATCTTAAGAAAGGACAAATTTATTAAGTTGTCATTGTTGAAATTTTTTATTGAATATGAGAATATCACCAAAAAGACCAGTATTTTATTCATATTTATGTCATCATTGATCACTATACTTCTCCTTCAATAGTGGATGGTGAACTGTACACATTTGGAGAACCCGAATGTGGGAAATTAGGTCTTCCCAGTCAGCTGCTGACCAATCACAGAACACCCCAACTGGTGTCTGGAATTCCCGAGAAGGTGATCCAAGTAGCTTGTGGTGGAGGGCACACCGTGGTTCTCACAGGTATGCGTGGAACCTGCTGCTCTGTCCTCTGCTTTCTATGGTAGCTAATGAAATTTTTTTAATGTTCATTTTTTATTGTGGTAAGAACACATAATATGAAATCTACCCTCTTAATGGATTTTTAAGTATATAATACAGTATTGTTATATATAGGCACAACCTTGTACAGCAGATCTCTAAACTTTACTTTGTATAACTGAAACTCTATGCCCATTGTACCTCAACTCCCTTTTCCCCTCCCCTAGTCTCTGACACCCACCATTCTATTCTTAGCTTTTATAAGTTTGACTCTTTTAGATAACTCATGTAAGTTGGTCTTTCATCTCTTTTCCTTAAGATCCCCACCTTTTATTCCTATAGTTTATACATATTTCTGGTCTATGAAAGAATTTTTTTAGGTAGAAAAAAATGAATCTCTTTAAATTGTTTCTGCTAATGTATTTGACATTTTCATGACCTTAGCACATTTAATGGCAGCATATTACATTGTTTTAGCTCATTATGAAGAAAAAACTGTTTTCCTCATATATGTGTATTCCCTATTTATCTAAAATTGACACTTTTCCTGAAATACCATTTTTTCAGAAGCTCCCTGTTCATGCTGTTTTGTACATGTCCTTGATAATTCTTTTCTTTGTGATATTCACAATGTATAATTTGGGAATATCTTTGTGATTTTATGTTCTGTTACAATAATTCATTAAAAAGTGGTAAGGTTATAAATTACAGATAATAAAATAAAGAACCCTAATAGTAATGTCACTTTTGTCTTATGAATTTAATATTTCATATGACATGTCCTTTCTCAGGATTCTAATCACTATTTTGGAATATACTCACTACTTGCTAATATGCTCACTAAATTGATTCTTCCAAATTTTTTCAGCATTAGATTTATTTTAGATGAGTGGTATAGAGGTAATATAGTTAGGTAGTCGATTATTATGATGATATATTTTGCTCAAAAAGAAATTAACAGTTTCTGAAGTCACCACTTAATCTTTAGTAACCCAAAGTTAGAAGTGTTCTAGATGATATTTGGAGCCAGACATATTGTATGATTCCATTTTTATGAAATTCAAGGAAAAACAAATCCAATCCATAGTGTCAGAAAGCAGAACATTAGCTGCCTGGGGCATGAGGATGGAGTGATGATTGACTTGAAAGGGGCATAGAGGACCGTTTGGGGTGATGAAAATGTTCTATATTTTGATTGTGATGATGACTACATGGATGTATGCATTTGCAAAACTCATTGAACTGAAAAAAAAATTGAGTGATATCCAGTTCTCAGATGATATGCATAATGTTATAAGGTGAGTGAATGATATTTTATCTTTAGATTTTCCTTTCTGATATGGCTTTTCCTTGACAGCCTCTTCTAGTCCCAGTCATGCTTATTAAGCTTTGGTTTTCCAGAATTACAGTTTCCAGATGGAATCTTTTCCAAGTTAGAAATAATTTTTTTCATAACCTCAACTCTAAATTTAAAAATCATTCTGAGGTTTAGGATTTTTCTGAATTTCTGCTGATGAAAAATGAATTTTCATATAATTTCATATAAAAATATTTATTCTAGAAATTAAGCTTTGAAATTAATCCTCATACATTATTTAAAAATTCATTCTGTAGGCAGAAATGCAACTTGTTCTTTATGTGTTATGCATTTTCTCTGTTATATGTTATGCATTTTCTCTAGTTTATATAAAGATTATAGAAATAATTTATTCAAGGTTACCCCGAAGGACACATGTGTTGATTATATAACAATAATAAGTCATTCAACCATGCATTATAAAATATTTTCATGTAAAGTGAGAAAGAAGATAATCCATGATACTTTTAATTATACTTAAAATTTTAAATGTACATAAATGTGATATTTTACAGTATTAATGACATTTAGCTTTTTGTAGACTTTGTTTTGAGGTTCAAAATCTGGTTTTTAGAAATTGATAGCTCTCTCCAGATTTTTGCAGACATTGGAATCTCACACACCAGTGAAGTTTGTTTTTCTAAAAAAATTATGTGATACATCTATTTGACAAGACCTGGAGCAATTGCCGTCTGCTGCTAAGGTTTCTACCACAAATGCAAGAAAAGAGTATCCTTGTACTTCCTGTCTGTCTGATTGTGGCAGCTAGGATTGAATGGGGGAATATAGGAGAAAAACTTGGTAATACAGGGAAAAACAGAGAGAGATCATTTTTGTAATTCATAAGTAACCTTGTAAACAGTGAAGAGCTTGTTTTACTACCAAGAAGAATCTAAAATTTGAGTTAAAAAATTATGAGAACTAACAGATGGTTGCCAACTTCTGATTTGCATTTGCCTAAATATGGACATTGAAAAAATGCCTGTTTTCACTATTATAAAATAAGGAACATTTTCAAAACAAAAATAAAAAGCTCTTAATTATATAGTAAAGGATACCTCCTTAAATAGTATAACTTCATCTGTATGGAAAATTTACTACTTTGCCTATTTTTCACATATCTCCATGGAACTGTGAGAGCTTTAGTATGAGCTAGCCCTGATGTATTCTGGAAGACAGTGTAGACAGAAATATTAAATATTTAGTCCTAACTGATGAAGAAATGGGCCTGAAGAGTATATTGATCATCAGTTTGACTACATGCTAAATTGGATTACTAAGAGAGTTATGGAGCACTTTGCAAGGCCCTAAGGATAAAATAGCTAATCTTCTGTTCTAGATCATTCTCTTCACTAAAGGAAAGGACTTGGATTAGATGATTCTATGGGAGACCTCCCCACCTTTGTTTTCCTGTGTGTCTATAACTCTGATCTTTAAATCTGTTTGGGTATCTTTCATTAAACTATTTTAAATTTAAATTAGTTAATTGCTAATAAACTTAAATTTGAGATATAATATTTTCATGTGACCATGATAGTTTAGAAAATACAACTGATTGTAGTGATAGTGTGATTGTAGTTTCTCCTTAGGATTTGGAAAACAGTGGACTTCTGTGGAGAAAGTGTGAGACTAAACTTGGGACACACTAAGTGAGGCAGAGTGATAGATATAATCTTGTATATCATCCATAGCAATTACCAAAAGACAAGAAAGACTGGTTATAAGATGGGGTCCACAGTGAAGTTTAGGTCCCAAGGCAAATGAAAATTTATCTTAACTTCTCCATATTTTGTTTGGACAAACCTAAGATCTTTACAGGGCACTAAGTTCTTAGTCCTGAAGTCAAATATATTATGTGAAATTACAGTCATATTGATCTGAAGCCAACTAATCAAATCTGTTTTCCTAATGTAGTATTATTTACTAACATTAAATTAAATGTCACAAAGGTGATGTAGCCAAAAATTATATTAGTTGTTTAATATCATAAAAGTGATGTGACCCAAAATTATATTAGCTGTTATAAGTAATATCCTTAGATAAAAGAGTCTTAGGTCATTTTTAACAGGCTAATGAACAAAACTTTTGTAACATGATTCAGGCTGGGTAAATGGCCTCATTTCACAAGCTAATTAATGTCAGACAGTCTAAGAAATTTAGAGTAATTTTTTGTCAGCTAGAGAAAGATAATTATTTTAGTTTACCCAACATTCTATTAAGGTGAACATTTAGAACTGGCAATATGCCATGTGATTATTAATTAAACTAAGAAATGGTATTTTTATATTAAAATAAGGATCTGTTTTTTTCATTGCTTCAATATGGCTTCATATCCTTGATACAGCATATTTTCTTTAAAGAGTTATATCTATATGTCTCATTTATGAAGCAAACATTCTTATTAGACAGAAAAAATATAAAACTACATGATAATAAGCAGTTATGTGTTCATCAGTCCCCCCATTGTCAGAATAAATGAGTTGCTAATTACTTTTTAGGAAAATGTTCTTTACAATTTAATGTCCTATTATGTTTTCAAATCTGCCTGAATGTTTTCTCATTTAATCCTGACAGCAACTCTATTAGACACGGATTATATCATCAGAGAATCTAAGTAACTTGCCTACTTGCCACAGCTAGTAATAATGAAGGTTTCGCTTTCAGAGTGAATATTAAGCTCTTGCTCTCCTTCCTATAGTACAAGAGAGTCAATGTACTGAATAAGGAGAAGTGACTAATGCAATCAACACTGCGCTTCCTGATGTAGCGGCTAGAGAGATTGTGTGTCTAAAAAGACCCTTTCAACTCTGCTCATGTATCCTATTTTTGTATTTTCCATTTCTAGAAAATATATGAGCTAATATTTACTGAGTTATTGGAGGTACTTTGGAATTACTTCCAAAATATCAGTATAGAGGAAAGGTTTTCCCCCCCTCCTCTTACTATTATTGCGTTTTCTGGTAAAGGAGCTTTATTTGTGAATAAATCTAGCATATCTACTGTACATTTTCATTCTCAAGACAATTCTCTGAAGTTTTGTTTTATAAAATAGATTATTAAGCTACTTTTAAAAATAAGTTTTTCTGTAGGAAACACTTTTTTTTTTATTTGAGGAAGTGAAAGGAATTAGCTTAATGACAATTGATGTTTTTTGAACTGAGGTGATGATTATAGGGACATTTCAGGTAGTTCCCCAACTTATGTGTCTTATGTCATACCTGTTGCTTAGTTACAAGAATTCCTTTTATGGTTATGTACAAAAGATAAAAACAGACCCATGCCATAATTTTTACAGTTGTATACCTTTCCATTTTTTTCTTCCTTCATCACTAAAAAATTTATACTTTAGTAGTATTTTTATATGGTATTTTTTCAGAGTTACATAACCGTCATTATGACAGGTTGAATATCACAATTTTTCTAGATATAATGGTGACAGTGTCTGCTTCTATGCAATCCTTTTCTTCTGTTTGCCCCTTTCCTTTCAGAGAAAGCTGTGTATACCTTTGGGCTGGGACAGTTTGGTCAGCTGGGTCTTGGCACTTTTCTTTTTGAAACTTTAGAACCCAAAGTCATTGAGCATGAAAATATTAAGGATCAAAAAATAAGTTATATTTCCTGTGGAGAAAGTCATACAGCTTTGATAACAGGTATGGATTAGAATTTCTGTTATGTATTTATAGAATTGGGTATAATTTATTATAAAATAAATAATATATGATATGAGTGTATCTAACTTAAGTAAAGGAATTAATTACTCAGAAAATGGAATTACTTGTTTAATATCCCAAAGTATAAACTCCTTTTTATTATCTTAATTTAAAATAAATGTGAATGATCCAAAGATTTAGAACTTCCAAAGATTTAGGCCAGTGATGTCAGAAATAAGACCATCGTATTATACTTTGGCAGAAAGCTGAAATATTTTTGAAATTGTATAACTCTGCACAAGCCAGAGGGAAAAATCCCACAAGAAAGAATTTCTTCTAAAACATGCTTCCTGTTCAATCTGACAGAGCATTTGGGCTGAGTAAATTCTTATGTTTTTGCCACCAGGAGGCGTTTTCAAGAATGACTCCTTCCTTCTAATTCCATGGTAATAAACAGGAGAGTACTTCAAAGATCTTCTTCTACTCTGATTTCTCCCTTATCCCTGTTCCTTTGGACCTACTTCTCAGCCTCAGAAATTAGGTGCTGCTAATGACGTAGGACGCAATAAATATTCTCCCCTAAAATGATTCAGTTACTTACATGTATTGATGTAGTCCACAATTTTAAATGCTCTGTAACAAAAGGATCTGTAATTTCCCTAGTTCTAGCTAAAAATAAAGTAAAGCATCAAAAAGTCAGAAATCTAGTATATTGAAATAATCCAGGTATTGGTATTTCTACTTTTTTTCCTTCTTTCTAAAAAAGCTACTGCTATCATAGAGCTTCATCTAGTGGCATCTGGTTAGGGAAACTAGGAATTAGCAAATGTATTACTGTTCGTTCTTTCCCAAAGGCCCTTTCAGAAAGGACAACCTGTCCGTTTTCAAGTATTGATGTTTTTGTTAATGTAGCATGAACTAGCAATACATAGAATGTAAAGAAGCATTATTCATTCATCATCCTATAAGAATTATTGATATGTAGTCCTTATTGTGGAGTCCTAATCTCAGTTTCTGTGTCCTTACTGTCATTTTTTATCAGCTCTAAATTTCCATTGATGTTAAATACACACTGTTTTTATGTATCATCTAATATACAATTAGATTATTTAATTAAAATTTTATAATACCTTTCTTCCTGATGACAACAGTTATAGCACAAATAATTGAACATTAACTTTGTTTGCCCTTTTGCTCATCAGTCCTCCCCAGGGGACAAATGTTACAGATTTTTTTTTTTCCTCTAGAACTAATAAGAAGTATATAGTGAGTTATCTGTAAGTTCTTGCCGATTCCACATTATGGCTAGTGGATCATATTTTAAAAAGCTCTCTGAAGTTGAAAGTACAATCAGGCAATTTGGATCAGAGTTTATTTTTTCAGGCAAAAGATAATAAAATTAAAAAGGCAAGTTTTAAAAAGCATTTTGGATGAAGAAATCAGGACCAAAAAGAAGGAGGAAGAAGGGATAAAGGCAATAAGGAGTTTTTATAAAAGAAATAAATATGTAATAGTGAAATTATAACTCTAAAGAGTAAACACTAGTTATCACTTATTTATGGGGAATCTTTTTAAATTAATTTTTGAACTTGACACCTTACTGAAATATGTTATTAAATCATTTTTATTCAATTTTCTTGGATTTGCTTCATATGCAGCCACTTTGTCATCTTAAACCAGAAGTCCCCAAATGCTATCCAGTCATTTCCCAGTTTCAAACCATTCATTTAGTTTCTTACTATTCTTAAAACAGAAATTAAAATTCTTAATCTGAACTAATAAGACCCTCTGTGGTATGGTTTCTTTTTACCTCCTTAGACTCATCTCATACCAGTCTCTTCTTTGTCCTTCAGGGGAATTGGTTGCCTTTCAGTTTCTTGCCCAAGTCATGTTTCCTCTTTGATTCAGAGCCTTTCTATGTACTGCTGGCTCTGTCTGGAAGATTCTTTGCTCCCTTCTTCTTGCAGTTAAACCCAACTCATCTTTTAGGTTTTACTTTGAAAGCCTTTCCTAATCCCCAGACTGGAGGGAAATCCTTCTCCTCTGCACCCTTTACTTCTGCTTGCCTCTTACCCTGCTTGAGATGCAGAGTATGAAGGAAGGACTTTAGTAAAGGAACAAAGGTTTAGTCAGAATAGCTACTGTGGCAGTGGGAAAAAGGATTAACTGGAAAGAAGCAACAAGATTTTTCATCATCATCATCATGAGCCTGATACCTGTATAGGAACTAGTTAGCATGGTTGGCTTATGGCATTATCATTAGGAACATTCTGCAGCCCAAGAGCCAAATTAATAAAAGAGACAGCTGGATTGATCTAGGCCAGTAGTTCTCTACTAGTGACGATTTTGGGTGTCTGCCTCTCCCAAGACACATGAGATGTCTGGAGACATTTTTGATTGTCACATCTGCAGAGGGGGGTTTTTCTACTGGCATTAATGGGTAGAGGCCAGAAATACTGCTAAACATCCTGCAATGCATAGGACAGACCCACACCACCAAAAATTATCTGGCCTCAAATATAAATAGTGTGCCAAGGTTGAAAAACTCTGAAAAAAGAAAACAGATTGTATTGGGATATGACGGGTCAGAGTACAAACATCTCTTTCCCTTTGAGAATATGGTGTGTATCACAAAATCTTATGCTGTATTGCCGCTGCTCCACACAGTGCCTTGCACAACGGGGCTTCAACTTCACATACCACCAAGGTTTAGTGATTTATTGTCAGAATATCTGTTGCCTGATGTGCAGGACCACAGAGACCTTAGAAAATGTGGAAAGATCAATGGATCTGAGTAAATTCAATGTAAAATTTGAGGGGAAAATTATAACTGCAGTGTATTAAGTAAATTAATATATTGGTCTGCTTACAAATAGATCCTTACAAGTAACACTTTTATAATTATCTTCATTTTTTTTTGCATTTTAGATGTAGGCCTTATGTATACTTTTGGAGATGGTCGACATGGAAAATTAGGACTTGGACTGGAGAATTTTACCAATCAGTTCGTTCCCACTTTGTGTTCTAATTTTTTGAGGTTTATTGTTCAGTTGGTAAGGGCATCATATTTCCCTGTTTACATTTTCATATTCTTTTATTTGAGTATTTCAGTATTTTATAGAAAATAAGTACTTTCATGTTTGTACAAAAGAATATCATGGATATATTTAATAAATATACTAGTTTCTTCAAAGCTAAATATCAGACTTTATGCCACTCTGAAAATTTGTCCCTTTCCTAATTTTCCTCCTTTAGCATCTTCTTTTTTGCCAAAATATTGACTCCCCTGCTTCATTCTCATATGTCTTTTGAAAGCTGAGACTGTGTTAAGCCTGTAAACTTTGTATCTTGTGTAGCACCCTGCCCAATGAGTACCTTGCTCATAGTAGTCTTCAATAAATGTTTGTTGAATAAAATGTTATGGAGACTCTCAAATCTGCACAAGAGAAATTCTGATAATAAATGAAGAGTTTTGAGATATGTTTTTTGGCTAAATTTTATTAGGAAAAAAATACATTGTTTCACTGTCACATCACTATAAGGCATTGTATCTCTATTATTTCTAATACTTTTGCCAGTTAAGAACTATAGACTTTTGAAAATTCTCTTTACTTGGTGATGATAATATCACTTGAAATTTGTTCTTCTAAGACTCAGGGTCTCATACTTGGAACATTTCCTATGTATTGATTCGACAGCTGTTTAATGAAAGCCTTCTGTGTGTAAGATACTATACTATTATGGATACAAAGTACTGGATACAGTGATGAACAAAATGACCAAGTCCTCATTTATTGAGCTTAGAGCCTTATGGGTATGATAATTTTAAAAGGTGATATGCAAAAACATATATAAATTTTAAATTTGAAAATATGAAGGAAAGATTCAGAATATGCTATTTTTACAACACCATATAGAACACTATAAAAAGGCTAGACACTGTATTGAAAATACTGTGCTATGTTTTTATAGCATTTTCTTGAAAATCATTTATTTTTCAAAATTCTTTGAATGTTTTCATTTTTTATTGTTCCATCATCATGCATGCTTACATTTTCCTCTAAGGGACATTTAAGTGTTAAACTTAGAAAGTGCTCACATAAATATGGAGACTTAGAAGCATAATTATCCTGAGGGATTGATTCTTAGATCATATTTTTTTTCTCAGTAGAACTTCTCTGAGTAATTTTTTTAAGTTTTCAATGTTGCTCCCAGGTTAAAATATAACATTTTCTAACTTGTAAGGAGAAGTGTAATGTGCCAAGTACTTTTTTTCTATATATTATATTAAATTGAAAGTAAAATGGTAGATTCAACTTGTTATAATTTTCAATCATAGTGTTTAAAGAATATGTATTATAATTCATACACTATGTATTATAATACATATGTGTATATAATAGTGGGTGTATGTGTATATAGAGAGAGCAAGTCAGTCAAGGAAGTCTGGCACTAAATAAATGTCTTATAGCTGATAACAGTTAAAAACTCATTTGTGTTTGAAGCCAGTGTTGATTAATTTTCTGTGGATTTATGCTGCAGGTTGCTTGTGGTGGATGTCACATGCTAGTCTTTGCTACTCCTCGACTTGGTGTGGCAGAAGGAATTGAATTAGATGAAGGAAATGATTCTTTATATGCATCAACTTTTCTGCCCACTGGCAATCTGACCTCAGGAAACACACTGGATAGAACTCTATCAGCACGTGTGCGGCGACGAGAGAGGGTACAATCGCGGCCTGTACTATGTATTAATAATAGTATTATCTCGCACTGCCAAGAAAACATGAAGAAAAAATGCATTTTCTTTTTCAGTCAAAGAAGGGTCTTCTCAGATAAATTTGCTAAATAAGATTATTAGAGTTGAAGGCTTATAAACTTTTAAAGTGAATTCAGAGTTAAGCTGTTAAAGACAAATTACAAAATTCAAATTCTCATGGATAACCTTTGCATATAGACAGTGGTACTATACAAAGCATTCTTATACAGGTCTATTTTATTACCTGAGATTGAATGCTGAATTGTGTTTTTCAACTGCATGTGGATTGACTTCTACTTTAACTTGATATATGCTTTTTTGTTATTATTGTAGTAGGAATACTTAACATGATCTATCCATTTAACATATTTTTAAGTGTATAATACAATATTGTAACTCTAGGCACAATATTATGTTATACAGAGATCTCTAGAACTTAATCATCTTGCATAATGCTATATTCTTTTACTTATACCTCATGAGCAGTGGAAGGTTGTGCACTATAGTAAAATGTAAAATACAAAGAAATAAGAACTTTGAGAGAAGGAATATTTTCTTTCAGTTAAATTTGGAGATTCTCCTATGCTTTAAAATTATTGTTTCAGTGACATACATATTTTTAAAAAGTAAATGGCAAATAATTTTTAAAGGAGATATTCCCTTTTTTGAAAATTATCTTAAGTTCTAAGACATATTCCTTTTGAAATAAAAAGGTTAAATCTGGCTTTTTATCATGAAAGAGTATATATGGGAAGGTTGAGAAATAACTCATCAGTGTTTCATAGTAGTTGTTTGTTTACATCTCATGAGTAATTTTTTTGTTTCTCAGGGAAAAAGCACATATACTTTTTCCATCATGTGGAAAAAAGGTTTCCAAATTGACAACTTAGAGCAACTAAGATACAGAGATAACAGAACAAAACGTTTTTGAGCCCTTGGAGATTATTAAGAAGTGAATGTTGTGGAATGTTGGCAGACTTTGAAGTCTTTCTCTTAAATATTTTTAGCAACTGCAAGGAAGTTTATATAAATATTAAATATATAACACCATTTGACAGTTTATTTAACTTGCTTATTTTAAAGGAGAAATCCCCAGATTCTATTCACACTGTGCGAACACTACCTCCAATAGAAGGGACTGCTACTGCACCAGCTTTTTTCCCCCTTAATTCAGACCTTTTCCATTTATCTATGAGTAACCTGCCAGACAAAACCAAATCTGAAAAGGAGGACTCCTTGCCACCAATGGAGCCAGGTAACATTTGCTACTCTCTCTTCTGAGGAGAAATGTGACTTTTATTCCTATCATTTTCATGTTAAGATGTTTTCTCCAGTTAATTAAATTTTCTCTCCCTGGTTAGAGCCTGACATCTTTCACTTGAACTCAAATCCAAGAATACCCTTACAAATAGAAAGCACTGTCAGTGGCCCTAAGAGTGCCACATAGCCACAGCAGCATATTTTTATAGAGTAATACATAACATACATAGTACCTTCCTTTACTTTATTTCCTTTAAACCCTGAAATGACTCCATGAACTAGGAAGGAGTTATATTTTTCATTTTACAGATGAGAAAAGCAAGGCTTGGAAAGATAAAGTGACTTGCCCAATGTCACTCAGTTCATCAGTGGATAAGATTTGAATGCAGGTCTTCTGGACTTACATGAAATTCTGTATTTAGGCAATATAGCATCGTGGTTAAGAACATGGGGTATGGAGTCAAATTGATCTGGGGTCAGATACCAGTTCTAACATTTACTAACTGAAAAGGGTTTAATAATATCTACCTGAGAGAGTGACAGGGAGGACTAAATGAGATCAGGCATATAAAATACTTGTATTGAATCCAGCACCTCTAGAAACCCCTTAGCAAATATAGTTATGATTATTATTAACATTTCTACCTCACTGCCTATTAGATGAAGATTTCATGCTTAAAATTGTAATTCCAGCTCTTTTGCTATTATACATCTCTTCTAAATAATTTTGTTTACAAATATTTGTGTATCTTAGGTGTGTCTGTGTGTTACTGCAGGGCATGTTCTTGGATGATAGGGGCAGGACAAGAAGCCAGGACCAGGAGATCAGAGAGTAAGCAGTAGGGTTGAAATTAAGAAGATAAATCTAGGCATCAGGGATTAAGAACCATGGCACAGATAATTTTTAGTATCTTTGAGATCAGGAATTTAGGCAAAAGTTTGAAGTAATAAAGGATCAGGAACTCAAGCAAGAATTATGGGCCATGGAAATGGAATATAACTGTAACTGGGACCTTGCTAATGAGCTAATTTCCTGTATCTGACCCACAACTTTTGTATGTTTCCTTTTGAAATAAGAATCATTGTCTAATGGTGCTTTTCAGCCCTGGACATGGGAAAAGTAGTAGATTCTGACAAGTAGTGTATACAAGGGAAAAGATCTTTATGTTTTGGGGAAAGTTGTTTGCCACTTCAAGAAATTTGAATGTGAAAATATACATAATTTTATAGCTAGATCAAAAGGAAAAGCCATCCCTTATCTTTCTTGTGACTATTTGCTAAACCTCTTTTAATGAAAAGTATTTTGAAAGTTGTAGCCAGTGCATAATATGACTTTTTAAAATCATTCGCAGACTTCAGTCTTTATAATGGAGGAGAAGAGATCAGAATAGGTTTTGCTGAGAAGGTGCCATTTAAACTAAAATATAAAGGATAAGAAAGAGATGGCCATGCAAAAAGTATATATGCATTTCAGGCAAAGAAAATTATATAGACAGAGGTTTGGAGGCAGCTTATAAGAAAAGGAGAGATGACTAGTGGGGCTTAGAAAGTGAGGGAAAAGGCCCGGGACAAGATGATGATGATGGAGAAAGAGTGAAAAATTATTTGACTTTATAGGCCATAAGAGGTTTATTTGATTTGAATATTTTTGTTAAGTATAACAGAAATCAGTTAAAGAGTTTTAAACAGTGGACTCATGTGTTCCAATCCAATTTACATTTTAAGATGATCACTTCTGCCTTTGTGTGAATTATATGGAGGCAAGACTAGAAGTAGGAAAAATACTTGCGAGCCTTTTCCAAGAGATGATGGTGTTTATGGTGGAGATGGAGAAAAGAGAAGAGGGTAGATTTGAAATACATTTTAGACAAAACCAACTTGGCTTGCTAAATGTTAATGAATTAATATAGGCATGAAATAAAGGGAGGAATCAAGGATGATTCCTAAGCAAGAGGATAATTGACAAGTCTGAGGAAGAAATTTAAGAATTGAGCCTGAGATATCTGTGACACATCTAAGTAAAAGTATCAAGCAGATGGTTGAAAAACAAGCCTAAGGTTCAGAAGAGAACTCTGGGCTAGAGATGTAAATTTGAAAACCATCAACATAGACATGGTATTTAAAATCCATGGAAGTTGGTGAAATCACCTGTTAGAGAGTAGAATCAGAAGAGAAAGGGGCCCAGGACGTAGCCCTAAGAACATCTAGTATTTAGAGGGTAGAGGAAGAAGAGCCAGTGAAGAATCCTTCCTAAGCTTTGTCAGCCAGTAAGGTAGGAGGAGGGAAATTAGGACAGAGTAGTGTCATGAATGCAACGTACTGCTCAAAGATCAAGGAAAAAGAGCTCAAAGAAGCATCCACTGGATTTGGTATTATGGAGATTACTGGAGATCTCAACAAGAATAGTTCCAGCGGAAGATCAGTGCTGGAGCCAGAGTGTTAAAAATTGAGGCATGAAGGAGAAATGAGAAAGTGAAGAGGAGATAGGATATGTGGATAATTCTTTTGCATATTTGATGATGAAGTTGAGCAGAGAAATGGGCTGGCAGCTAGAGGGAGATGTGGGCTCAATAGGAAATACTGGAGCACATTTGTATGCTAATGGATGAGCCAGTAGTCCAGGAGAACTTGGTAGTATAGAAGAGAGAAAGTATAACCAAAGGTGCAAAGCTCTTTGAAGATAGGAGGGGTACACAGCAGCCTTTGATAACAGGAAAAATGCCCTACATTTTAAAAGGAAAATTAGAACTGGTGTACAAATGTAGGTAATTGGTGTATGTTTGCCAGTGAGCAGATCAAGTGGATCAGGTCCGATGACTTCTGTTTTCTCAGTCAAGTCTGAGGCAAGGCCATTAGTTTAAATAATCTACTATATATTTTCCAAACCTATGTTCTCTGCTCTGCCCAATCTATCTTACATAACACTTTCCATATTAATCTTCTTCAGGTGCAATTCAGTTTCCATCTGCTCTAGTGTCTTCAGTGAATCCTTGATATTTATGAAAACAAGTATAGGTTTTCTCATATAACTCCCACCTGCTTTTCTAGCTTTATATCCGAATAGTTTTTTTCTCTGATAACCTTTGTTTAGATCAGTAGTCTGCAAACAATGGCCCATCAGACAAATCCAGCCAGCCGCCTGTTTTTGTAAATAAAGTTTTATTGAAATGCAGCCATACCTATTCCTTTATGATTTGTCTGTGGCTGTTTTCACACTACAATGTCAGAAGTTAATTAGGACAGAGACTGTATAGACCACAAAGCCTAAAATGTTTATTGTATGGCCCTTTAGATAAAATGTTTGCTAACCCCTGATTTTGTTCAAACTGAGCTATTCAAAGTCTTAGTTAGTAGAAAGAACATGGGCTGTGGAGTCAGACAGACCTGAGATTGACGCTAAGCACCAACAGGGTCACTGAAGCTTAGTTTCCTCATTTATAAAATGAGGATATAATACCTTTCTTGTTGTCATGGAATTAATCTAACATATGTAAAAGCATATGTTCCTGGCATATGATAAGCTTTCAATATAAGCTTCTTTCCTCTCTTTGTTCAGATTACTGTTCTGCTACTTTATTAGGAATGGGCTTCATTTTCTTCCCCTTCTACCTCCTCCTCTACCTCTCAGAATTTGACTCATCCTTCCATGTACCTCCTTAATGAAACCTTTCCTGGTTGGGAACCTTTCCTGGTTCCCAACTTGGATGTTATTTGTCATTCCTCTATGCCATATGTTTTATATTCCCTTCTAGACTATATGTTCATTAAGAATTAAAAATTGGCCAGGTGCGGTGGCTCACGCCTGTAAACCTAGCACTTAGGAGGCCGAGGTGGCCAGATTGCTCAAGGTCAGGAGTTTGAAACCAACCTGAGCAAGAGCAAGACCCCGTCTCTACTATAAATAGAAAGAAAATTAATTGGCCAACTAATATATATAGAAAAAATTAGCCGGGCATGGTGGCACATGCCTGTAGTCCCAGCTACTCAGGAGGCTGAGGCAGAAGGATTGCTTGAGCCCAGGAGTTTGAGGTAGCTGTGAGCTAGGCTGATGCCACGGCACTCACTCTAGCCTGGGCAACAAAGCAAGACTCTGTCACAAAAAAAAAAAAAAGAGAGAATTAAAAATTACAAATGTATATAAAAATATCTGTTTTACACCTTAATGATAGACAATAAAAATAAACAAAAAAGAATTAGCAATTACTTAAGTTGCTATTCTGCATATCACCTCACATGGAATAGGTACAAATGATTACTTTCTCATTCAATTAAATTGATTTAAAAGGGAAAGATCAGTGTGGACTGGCATTTTTTAGTGAAGACTTCATTAAAGAGCTACCCTCAAATAAATATACAGGTGATCAATGAAAGTATAGTAAGAAATTGAGAAAAAATATAAGATCAAATAGAACTTATGACTTTTAATTATTTGCTTTATGATGTAATAACCTTATAGTTTTCTGTGAAAGTTTCTAGGTGCTTGTACTAGTAGTTCTGTTGCTACATTAAAAAATGACCCTAAAACGTAGCAGGTTAACACAGCAAACATTTGTTTTTTTCATACAGTTTCGGTGAGTCAAGAATCCAGGAACAGCTTAGCTGGATGGTTCTGGCTCAGAGTCTTCCATGGGGTTGCAGTCACACTGTCAGATGGGGCTGCAGTTATCTGAAGGCTTGCCTGGAGCTGGGGGATCTACTTCTAAGCTCATTCACATGGCCATTGGTGGGAGGCCTCACTTCCTCACTACATAGACTTCTCCATAGAGATGCTCACAATGTGGATTCCCCCAGAGCAAGTGATGACAGAAAGAGAAAGCAAGCAAGAGAGAGAGAGAAAAAAAATGCGTGTAACCAAGACAGAAGCTATGATGCCATTGCAGTCATGTCTGGTTATTTTATTGGTCATACACACACAGACCAACCTGGTGTAATGTACAAGCAAACTACATAGGAGGATGCAGGTCTTTGGGGCCTTTCTTGGTACTAGCTGTCATAGTGCTCGATACCTGGGTAGTATTTTCACAAACAAATAGTGTTTGCTTGTCCATATGAATGAAGCAATTGTTATCTAATCAGTGTCAAAGTTTTTAAATTTCAAAAAGAGATTTTAAAACTAGTTATCGCTCTGAATGAATTTTGTTCAATTTCCCTGACATTAGGTTAAAGGGCTTTTAGTAAAATTATACCTACATTTTATATTACAGAATAATTTTTAGTTTTTGTCAGTTGCCTTTCACTTTTCTGTTGAATCTGCATTTCCCTTTCCCCTTTTAATCATTCATATTATTTTTAAGATAAAATGATCAAAGGCAAAGAGATAGAAAATTCTTCAGGAGAGGATTCAGAAAGCCTTGGAGAAACTACTGATGTCTTAAATATGGTAATGATTTCCTATCTATCTATCTATCTAGATATGAGTTTGAATTTTAGTTCATTGTGTGTATGTATACTTGCTATACTCTTCTATGCATAAAAAGTTGCTTGTTTGTTTTCATTTCATTTTGTTCTTTTTTAACTAACTTTATTGAGGTATAATTCAAATGTAATAAAATTTATTTTGATCTTCACATTATTAGTATAGCCATTGAGAGTAGACTATATTACTATCTGAACTATTCATTTTATTTATTTATAATGTTTAAATATATAATCATATAGTCATATATGTAGTTTTATTCTTTTTAGAACTTTCATTTTTTATTTATTTCAGACACATATGATGAGCTGGAATTCCAATGACAAGTCATTAAGATTATCACCAATTCAAAAACAAAAGGTATAATGCAAACATTTAATATCATTATGGTGGGTAAGAACTGTTTAAGTTGGGAGGGAAGTTTCTGGAAAGAACACAAGAAAGGTAAGCATTTGTATATATTGGAATTTAAAAGACAGAGGAATACAATGTAAATAACCCCCATTTTGGCTTGTTCTGTTGGTATGTATTTTCTGTGATGCAACAAAAGTGGTAGAGTTTTATTGCTGAAATTTGCTCCTTGACATCACTAACTTAAGTTATAATAGCCATACATTTCTTTCTGTCAAGCAATAGATTATGATTATAGTTCTGATGTATAGGAAGAGGTCACTGTTTATTAATAGAGTGACTCTCTGACTTTGGTTGAGTATGATTTTGAATGAGTTACTATGCTACTATTACTGGATGTTATTAATATCTTGTCTAGCTCTAAAATTTTGTGATTTTAGTGAAAATATTTCATAATTACTTTTGCAATTTTTGGATTAGACTTTAATTTATCAAGTAATTAATAGCATAAAAACAAGATTAAAGTAAACATTTGGAAATTAGAGACCATTCATGGGTGAGAAAGAGAAACCTTTAACGACTAATGAATAGTAAGAGGATGGAATTGTGGTTTGGTTGTGGTTTTCACAACCCTGGAGACAAAGTCTTGTCCTGAAATCTTTTGCTTTTCTTAGCTTTAAGGACCAGTGGGATGAAAGGATAAGGGATTTGAGGATTAGGGAAATAAATTGGAGAACGTAAATTGAGGGGAGAAGGCTATTAAAAAACATTTAATTTCTATTTGTAGTGCCTTTGCTACATTTTGAAGTTAAAAATCTTTAAAATCAAAGCCACTGAAACATAAGAAAATCTTGCTAAATTATAAAAATTTAGAGCCATTCCTCATTAGTCCTATCTATATTACTGAGAGGCCTAATGAATACCAGCATTCCTTTGAATATGAGAGAGCTGTTCTAACACAGTTGTAGAAGCTCAGGGAATATTGACTGACTTTTTGACTAACTATACTTCCAAGTGGACATCTTTCCTTTCTCTTTTCTTATACTCTGGGCTCTGCCTCTTCTGAGCTGGTTTATTGTGCTAGGGAAAGAAAGGCACATACATTTAGAAATTAATTCTGGTAGCTGGGCCTGTCTCCCTTAGAGCTCTTTAAAGAATCATTACTTCTTTTTTTTTTTTTTTTTTTTTTTTTTTTTTTTTGAGACAGAGTCTCGCTTTGTTGCCCGCTAGAGTGAGTGCATGGCGTCAGCCTAGCTCACAGCAACCTCAAACTCCTGGGCTCGAGTGATCCTTCTGCCTCAGCCTCCCAGGTAGCTGGGACTACAGGCATGTGCCACCATGCCGGCTAATTTTTTATATATATATCAGTTGGCAATTAATTTTTCTATTATAGTAGAGACGGGTCTCGTCTTGTCACGGGTGGTTTTGAACTCCTGACCTTGAGCAATCCGCCCGCCTCGGCCTCCCAAGAGCTAGGATTACAGGCGTGAGCCACAGCGCCCGGCCAAGAATCATTACTTCTTAAAGAACAAAACCTAGAACAAATAGAAAAGGAAAGCACTTCCTCCTAAGCTGATGTACATTTTATACTTCATGTAGTGATTTCAAGTTTTGGCCCTACCAGGCCTACTTTAGTGAATAAAAAGGATGATTTGTTATACTATTTCTATATATGTGCTTGTTAATTTTTAACTCGTCCTGTTTTAATTTTCCTATGCCTAGCACTCATTACAATTTATACAATTTGATTTAGTTTTTACTATCCACAATTTGATTTAGGTTTTACTATCCAGAAACCCAAATCCATCTGATATTTGAATGCATTAGTTTGTAGAATTTAGGCCAACAATTTGGTTTTACCCTGGATTGTCCAGCAGGAAATTAATTTCATATTATTAATGTATCATCAAATTTCAATGTTTGATTTCATATCTTATATTTTACCCTTAGTACTTTTTCATGTATACAAATTAGTGTTTTTTCATGTATATAAATTATTATAATTCAGGAATTTAATAGATAGGAGGAAGAAGGTCAGAAATTTGAAAACCCCTATAAAGATTTTGTTTAGAAAAACAGTATATCAGTTATTCATTATTTAGTTTATAGATGAAAAAGATTTCATGTGCAGTTTTTATTTCAGTTATTTCTTCTAGAAATAAACTATTTTTAAAATTGCTTACATTTTTATTTTCTTTAATTTTGTGAATTTTATAGACTCAAAAGACAAATCAAAATTTGAAAATTAGAAATGGTAGGGAAGGTGGAAAAATTATTCTGAGCTGCACTACATGCAAATGAAGTGTACATTTTTTAATACCATCTTGAAAAATCTGCCTGGAAATGAGTTTTGTGTAAGGATAGATTCATATTGAGAAAAGGGGAAGAGAATAAATGTTGATGGTATTGTGATTAATGGCAAAATTAAGGCAGGTAGTAAGATTTGAAAGTTAAACAAAAGTACATACATGTTACTAAATCAAAATTAAATATATCACAGACCTAGAGAGTGGCATAAATTATCCCTAAAGAAAACAACACCTCAGCAAAATGTCTGGTAAAACTGACCACTTTAATTATCCTAGTGAAACTTTGTAAAATCTTGGCAGTAATTTATAGTAGATAAGTTACCTTGTCAACTAATAGTAGTATGACGATTACTTCAAAAAATTTACAGAAACAAGAAACAATTGAGAAATCGATGCAGCATACAGCTGATACTGAAACTGATGATAGTAATGAATATGAAGAGATGTCAAAAATGAAAGAAAGGAAAGCATATGAACAACATGTGGCAAAAGGGATATTCATGATGCAAGCGGCTGCGACCATGGAAACATTTTCAGATGAGGAAGTAGGTAATGACTCAGGCGAGGCGGGACCTCAGACTGCCAGCGATGGAGAGGGTTTGCAAAAAGAGATATTTAGACGTGAAAATAAAAGAGGTATCGATCAAGTTGATGTTAAGGAAATAGAAAAGGAAAGTGATGGAGGATGTAGTCAGAAGGATTCAGAAGCAGAAAAAAGAGTCTCTGAGAAGGAAACTAAGCTGGTGAAAAGAGCAGGTCTGAGGGAGATAAGAAAAAGGGAAGAGAATACAAAAAGTAATAGTTCATTCTTTGACAAATTACTAGATAGAAGTATGAATACTGAGAATGAAGAAAATAAAGATTTTGTTAAGAAAAGGAGAAGTAGCAGGCAAGATGTGGTTTTTGACAGTCAAAGAGAATTGATAGAAGAGCCAGACAGTTACATGGAAGATGAAAGTGAGAGTCAACAGGGTATAGCTGATGGATTCAAGCAGCCTGAGTCAATAGAATTTAGTAGTGGAGAGAAAGAGGAGGAGGATGTACAAACTGACCAAAGCATGTGGTATAGCAGAAAATTTATTAAACAAGGAAGTGGGAAAGAAACTGAACCCAAAATACCCAAAGTCATGGCAAAATATGATTTTAAGTGTGACCACTTGTCAGGGATTCCAGAAGAGCAGAAAGGAGCAGAGGATTCAGAAGGAGGCGAATTAGAGGAGCAAGAGGTAGAGGCACATGAGGAGAATGTGGAGGTGCATGAAGGAAGAGAGGAGGAATCAGAGAACCTTTCAGATGACCTTACAGACAAAGCAGAGGTGAGTGAAGGCGAAGGAGAGTCAGGGGGAGAGGCAGAGGACTGGCCTGAGCCTGGAGGGGATGGAATCTGTGAGGGGAGTAGATCAGGAGTGGAGCAACAGCAAAGGGATAAGGGGGAGGAGCAGGGTGAGATGGACAAGGGAGGAGGGGAAATGGAGAGCCTGGGTAAGGGAGAGAAGAGCCTAGAAGATGAAAAGGAATGGGAGAAGAAAGATGAGGAAGAACAGGAGAAAAAGGAGAGGGAGCAAGGCCATCAGGAAGAAAGAAACCAAGAGATGGATGAAGGAGAAGGGGAAGAACAAGGAGAAGGGGAAGAACAAGGAGAAGGGGAAGAACAAAGAGAGGGGGAAGAGCAAGGAGAGGGGGAAGAAGAGGAGGAAGAGGAAGAAGAGGAAGAGGAGGAGGGAGAAGAGAAAGAAGAAGGAGAAGGGGAAGAAGAGGAGGGAGGCAGAGAAGAGAAGGAAGGGAAAGAAGAAGAAGAGGAGGAAGAAGCAGAAGGACAGGCTGAAAAGGAAGGAGAGGAGGAGGAAGGAGAAGGGGGAAAGGAAGAAGCAGAGGTGGAAGGGCAGGAAGGAAAGGGAGAACAAGAAGTAGAGGAGGGGGAAGGAGAGGAAGAAGAGGAGGAAGGAGAGGGGGAAGGGGAAGAAGGAGAGGGAGAAGGGGAAGAAGGAGAGGGGGAAGGGGAAGAAGGAGAGGGAGAAGGGGAAGAAGGAGAGGAGGAAGGGGAAGAAGGAGAGGGGGAAGAAGAACGGGAGGAACAAGAGGGGGAAGAGGAAGGAGAGGAAGAGGAGGAAGAAGAAGAGAGGGAAAGGGAGGAAGAAGAAGAGAGGGAAGGAGAAGAAGGAGAAGGGGAGGAGGAGGAAGGAGAGTGGGGAGGGGATGAAGGAGAAGGGGAGGAAGAAGAAAGAGACAGAGGAGGGGAGGAAGGAGAGGGAGGAGAGGAGGAAGGAGAGGGAGGAGGGGAGGAAGAGGGCTGGGAGGAAGAAGGAGAGGAGGAGGAGGAGGAGGAAAGGGAAAGGGTAGGAAACAGGAAGAATGGAGAAGAGGAAGAAGAAGAAGTAGACAATGAGGAAGAAGAGGGAAAATACCAGGTCATAGATGAGGAAGAGAATGAAAGGCAGGAAAGGCAAGGTAAAGAAGAGGAGTCAAAAAAAGTAAGCAAAATAAAAGGATCTATGAAATATGACAAGCATAGAACATATCAAAAGAAGTCAATTACTGACACAGGAGGAGAGGGGAAAGAGCAGAGGGTCAAAGTGCCAGCACAATCAAAACAACATTTAAAAAATGGGCCATCAGGTTCCAAAAGATTCTGGAATAATGTATTACCACATTATTTGGAATTGAAGTAACAATCTTTAAATTAGCTGATTATGGCCAGCTAATTAATTTGAACACCTTGCACATAATAGACCCTCATTACATTTTATTAAATTAATTTTATGTCATGGTTATTTTATATGTGATAATAAAAACTGATGCCAGTTGTGTTAAAGGGTCAAAGACAACAGTAAGCACTAGTAAATTTTGCCTTCTCTTAAACTAATATCTTAATATCTTGGTGTATTTCCCCTCAAATTATAAATCTATAACTAGAATATATTGAAAGGTCATATCAGATAATTAATATATATTTCTCATTAAAGACATATTTAAGAAATAAGCATGACTATAAGAGTATTTTATTTGTATATATAGGTCCATTTAAAAATGGCACAGATCCTTAAGTGCTATAAAAATTTCTAATTTCTTATAAATATGTTAGCACATTTTTTTCAGTCTATGATTATAGTTTATAACTACGACATAAAATAATTTTATAAGAATGGATGATAGTCTAAAGCTAACTTGAGGCATTCACATTTCAAAGAAAGTGTTGTCTTTTTACCTTTTTTTGTGTCCTTTTTGCAAAAATCAACAAAGTGATACCTGTGTTCAAAACTTAGATCCTAATAATGTGATCTCTTTTAGTTACTATCTAGGCAGATGGCAGTATATCTAATGCAATGGAGATGAACATAAATGTATATGTAAAACTATATATTTATCCTCTAGGCAAAACTATTTAGTGGACATTAGCTTCCTCTGTAAAATGGAGCGGATGAGATAATATGATAACTGTAGTCCTTTCTAACTCGTAGATTCTTTTCATTTTGACAGGCTGACTTACTCTGTCATTTTTGTTATTTGCATAAGAATTTTTTAAGAAAGAAAAATTACACTTTAAAATTAATTTAGTTTTCTATACAATTTTGTTCTTTATTCTTGAAAAGTTGTGATAGCTTTAATGTCTCTTGTCTTTTGTAATTGTGTATTTCTAAGCTCCTATAATTTCCAAGCTTTAACGTACTATCAAAACCTTCATTTCCAGTATCTGTTATGTGCCCTCAATGTATTCTTCATTCACTGTTTTGTAATTCTCGATTTGTCTGTTGCTTGTCAGAATGATTCAAGTAAAATAAAAATTAAATGTATACAGTTAGTAATTGTTTGTGAAAAGATAAACTGTCTAATATTAGATATTGAATTTTAGAGAGGCTAGATTTCCACTTGAGTAATTTCCATATTCCCTTAAAATTTTTAATCTGTATAGTGCAGCTAGTTTGTTAGATTGTTATTTATTCAAAGCTTCCATTTCAATTGATTTCCTTTCCTAGTTCCTTTCATATATCTTGGTCATGAGGAATTTCTTATACTTAACTTTTTTCAAGTACGATTTTGATAATAAACTTCCTGTGAATTTGTAAAGTTGAATTCTTTGCATATTTGATTCCCTGAGTGAGAAAGAACATGACATGAGGAAAAAGACTAGAATCATACAAAGTGAAGAATTTCCTAGGAGCAACTGTAAATTTTATCTCAGCTGTAAGGATCTCTGGTAGCTTCCCCTAACTAACTAAATATATTGATTTGGCATTGCAGTGCTTTACCAAATACTACCACATTCATTAAGTACTATAGTAGAATAGAACTGATGCTATGATACAGTATATGTGCAAAACATGGTTATTTAAAAATATTTAAAATTATTAAATAAGATAAATGATAGACATGGAATTCATAAAGAAAACCCTTCAGGGAGATAAGAAACTCTTAAACTCAAGTTATTAACATAAAAGGTATGGGTATTCATTTTCCACTGAAGAGATAATCAGCCAGCAATACTGAGATGATGTCCTAAAATGTGCCTGTTTAAGTATTTGAATTTGTCTAGATGTTTATTTTTATATAGTATTTCTTTACATTTTCCCAGCCAAAAATTTTTTGTACTCTTTAGAAGTAGTAGTTCATGCAAGCACAGAGCACTGGCCTAGTCACTTTGAAACCAGGCCTCTACTTCCAGCTTTGTATTTTTAAGCTCTCTGAACTCGGGACTGTTTCTTAGCCTTTGCAGGCCTCAGTTTCTTCATCTGGAAAATTGTAGAACGAGAATGGGTAACCTAAGTGATTCTATAGGAACAGTAGTTGTTCATTACCAACTAGAGCTTTGTCAGACCAGAATTTCTGCTATCTCTTTCCTCAATAAAAAATTTTGAGTCTAGTCACCAAAAGCATCCTACCTTCAAACTAACTAGCAGTTATACTAAAGCAAACAGTTATCCTAAACTAAGCATACCGACTTTCTGTGTCCACTGTTCAGTGAACATTTATTTAGTCACATATATGGCAGGTCTAGTACTCTCTAGAAGTTTATAGGGAAGAGGTTATTTCTGGTTAGCAGTGGGGTAGGGGGATAGAAGAACCAGGTCTTGCCAGACTCTCATGAACAGAAGTGATTTACTTTATAGATCATAGGAGAGAAAGAAAAGGAAGTCTAAGAATGAGACCAGTTTGTCCCTTTTGAATTCATACTTGGTTACATAGATTAAAATAACTGGTTCCTTCTGTATTGTCCCCATCTGCTGGATGTTCAAGCTTTTACTATAGTTTATCACTGATCATTACTGAGGGAAGTGTCAGTTGTATATGTAGAATCCATTGAGTTACAGTTTCCTAATGAGGACTCTGGCAGAAAAAAGACTTTAAGGTAAGCTACAAAGGAGTACCTACTACAGAAGCATCTGCTGCTGCTGAACAGCAGCACTTGAGGTGAGTTCCATTGAAATGTTTTTTGTTGTTTCACTATATAGAGAAACTTGCTATATACGTATATATCAAAAATAAAATGCAACCATGGAGGAAAGTGCTGCTATTCTTCCTTCATTCTTTCTGTTGGGAAAATTCAATATGATATTGTATGCCCAGTATCCACCACATAACTTAATATTTGGTACATATTATTCATTCAACATCTATGTACCAAATACCAAAAAAAGGACAGAAGCTTTCCCAAGTCAGGTCAATCTCAAGAAGTGAGAGCAGCTTACAGTCAACCGCCTGTGGCCCTCTTACCTGTCAGGGACTTTAGATACAGATTTCTCAAAAGATCACCAGTTGAAAGAAGTCCCCGTGGCTCTGCCTTAACTATTTAACAATTCTCTTTTGTTTCCTGATACCCTATGCTTTTAGTCATGGCTGCCCAAAGATAAAAGTTCTAAAAACAAATCTGTGATTTTCTTCCATTAAATCCCTTAGTTAATGAGAAGAAAATGTTTCTTCCATTAAATCCTTTAGTTTATGAGAAGAAAATGGTTTTGTGTCTTGAGTTTGCAGAGAGTAAAAAATGGTTCCTAATCTTGAGGAACTCTTAGGCCATTTCCACCGGCTAGCAGAAAATTTCCTAGTACTATAGGGTATTTTAGGAGTAGAACTTTATCTGCGACAGAAAAAGGTTAGGAAAGGACTTCTGAGGAGTGAGTAGTGAGGCTTGAACTGAGTCACATCAAGTAAAACTTAACCAGGCAGAGGGGTTGAGGGGAAGGGGGCTTTCCAGGCTGGTGGGAATCATGAGAGTGTTTTGGTGTAACCGCAGCCTGGAGTATACTTTGGTCATAGATAAAGAGGCAGAGGGCCTTATATGTCTGTAAGAGATGTTAAACAAAGAGTAAGTTGACTACACTTGGGTTTTTGTAAGATCATTCTGGCAGCAATATGAGGGTGAAGTGGAAGGGGACAGGACCAGAGTCTGGAATACCAGTTAGGAGCCAGTTATAGTAGACCAGGCAAGGATTGAAGAGGGCTTGGATCAGGACAGTGGATATGGAGAGATGGGGAAATGTGGTATTAAGAGATTCAGGAATAGGATGGGAAGGCTTAGTAAAGAGTTGTAGCTGGGAAGGAAGAGAATGGCTAAGTGTTTCTTGTTTCTGGCCTAGAGAACTGAGGGGGAATTAGTGCTATTCAGCAAGACTGAGCATAGGGAACTAGGAGCATGTTTGGGAGATGGTTTTGGACTTGTTGATTTAGATTATCTGCAGGAGATACTCAGTAAGCAGATACATGCATGGGTCTGGAGCTCAGGGGAGATTGCTGAATATTTCCAGCTTTTGTCATTAAAACTGGATTTGAATGAAAGGAAGCATTCCTATTGTGAAGATGATGAGAACTGAAAACATAATCCAAGGAAACATCAGTATTGATAAGGAGGAGGTTGAGAAAGTGAAGTTTCCAAAGGGGGTGGGTAGTCGCTTACTAGGAAAGAAAGGTGCTGCCCAAGCCAAGGAAGAGATGTCAAGGAGAAAGGAGTGGTAGCAGCTGCAAAGAGAGCCTCTGGGATGTGGCCTAGTGGAGGGCCAGGGGCAGAATCCACATTGCCAGGAAAGAATGAGCTGCAGGAAGTCTTATTTTGCAGAAGAATAGAATCAGAACTAAACTTTGAAAATTAAATATTAGTTATAGAGCACTACTGGCACAATTCTCAGTATAGGAAGGCAGATGTATTAATATCTTCTAGAGACTTTGGTACTCTAGGGAAAAAAAATTCTTAATTTTTATTTGCAGTTAATGTATAAATAAGAATAGGATATTATCGATGTGAACTTAGGAATCAAAAGAAGAGTCTGCAATGCTTTAAACGTTAGTGAGGGAAGGAAAAAGAAAACAATTATGAGGATAGCCATTATGATTTTCAAATTATTTGGGCAGGTTTGGGAATGAGCATGGGTTCTGGAGTCCAGTAGACCTGAATTCAAATCTCAGCCCTCCACTGATTAGCTATGTGGTCACCAGGAAAAACTTTTGTTGTTTTTGATCTTTCTGAGTCTTATTTCCCTCTTTTAACAAAAGAGTGGGGGTCTTTTGATAATTAAATTACTTAACACATGAAACATGTTATAGGCACTCAGCAAATGGTAACCTGTATTGCTCGAATTATCCTCTCTGATCACACTAAGGCAGATGCAAAGCTACACTCATGAATCTCCAGGTCACCAGTTGGTGTGTATGAGTTTAGTCCTATGAATCTGACTTGTGTTTAAATACAACATAATAACCAAAAAATAAATTGGCTTATGGAAATAGATCTGTGGGAATAACGTGGATTAAAATACTGATGACCT